TCGCTGCCCCGTTCAACCATTTTGTCTGCTTCTCTCGACAAAGCTGCACGCCTTCTCTTCGTCTTCCTTCAAGTTCATCTTCCTTCGAGCATGGCTCGACATTAACTTGCACGATGAGTTGATCTCCTTCCCCATCCTCTCCTTAGTTAGGGTTCGGCATGCATGATGCCCTTTCCTCGGTCGAAAATAACATAAAATGCAAAGCTCCTCGATGAAGTCGTAATTCTTCCTCTTCTCTCGGCTAGGGATTCTTTCATTGGGAGAGCGGAAGAGTCAAAGTCTCCCATGCACGCAAGCGGTAATTTCTTTCCATCTTCTTTGTTCCCACTCCGATCTTCCATCTCTTTCTCTCGCTCTCTCTGTCAGCTTGTTCAAATGAAACAACAACTTCTTCAACTCCTAAATATGAAACTTTAAGGACGCACCTATAAAATTATTATTAATAATATTATTTATTTATTTAAAAATTTATATATTTATAAATTAAAATTTTTACAATATCCCTTCCTTATAAAAATTTCATCCTCTAAATTCATGAAATTCACACTAACTAATCATTAAGTAATGAACCATAAAGCAATAACAAGTCTTCTTCTTAAGAAATAATTAAATCATATGTGATAAATCTAATATCTATGATAAAATTCAACAAAAAATACCTATAAGTAACACAGCATAAGATAAATAGAACAACACCCATTAGATAAATCTTCCATCAAACTCTATGCGTCAATATCAGTGGCAACAATATCGGCTTTTGTCATCCTCTGTTGACCACTTCCAAAAATATATCCCTCCTGGATATTGCCTTAAATTAAATCCCTTCCTGAGTTAGCATTTGATGTGGATCTCTGAGCAGCATTAGGATAATTCCTCATCTGATGTCAAAGTTGTATTTATAAATAACACAACTCCAAACCAAATAGACATGCACCATGATTTTGCTTCACACACAACATAGGGCTCAATATTGTTGTTGTCAGCTTGATTACTAACTCCATCAGTGTAGGACTTTATTTTGTTCTCATTAAACTCTTCAGAATGAATTGTTGGTGTCACTTCTTTCAAACTCTTCCTCTTGTGTATGTTTTTACGCATCTGAGTTTGTTGAAAATCAATTTCTACACATCTAGCCCTTTCCACTAGCACTGAATAGTCCTCACTCTCAAGTATTAGTGGTTGTCTAATTGAATCATTCAACCCAGGAAAAAGCATGTGACATTTCTCCTCAGTATTTGGAACCAACTGGGGTGCATACCTCAAAAGCATAGTGAACTCAGCCTTATATCATCTTATCGAACGATCACCTTGTACCAACCAGATAAGCTTGTCATGCATTTTTCTCCTGGTTGACATTGGTATGATCAGTCTCAAAAAGTTGCCAAAAACTCCTCCCACCGCACTAAGTGGATGGTTCTTTTCGAAACTTCTTCTACATTTGTCCTTGCCACCATCACTCTGTTTCTCCTTAAAAAGCAAAAGTGGCAAGTGCAACCCTTCTCTTTGGTAGACAAGACATCCCATCTATAATTTGCTATATTTTAAATAGCCAGTTATCAGTATCCACTAGACATTCTCCTCCAGAAAAGAGAGATAGTCTCATATCCTGAAATGGTTTCAATACTTGTCCATCTGACCTCCGCCACTAGATATGGACCAAGACTGAGAGTTCATAATCATCTGAGTCACTACGATTATGATCTCTGTAAAAGCATCAATATTGACAATAATATAATGGGATATATCAAATTCTACATTATCATCTCTGACATCTTTCTTATGACTATCTATAACTGAAATAACAACCAAATAATTTAATTAGACTCAACTAAAATTTGAAGTTTTATTATTTATAACTTAATTCAATCATTATAATGTTTCTTTCATTAAGATTTATGTTGTTTAATCTAAATCTAGCTTTGATACCATTTTTTTCATGAACCGATCGAAAGTTTGGAATTAACCAGAACGGAAGCAGACGAAATGACAATAGAATCAATTTTGTATTATTTTATCTCTATCACTAACAGTTTAATATCTAACTATTAATGGAAATCTACTGCTAAAGAAAGTAATGAAATTGAGCAGATAAAAATAATTACCATTTAAGTTGCTGACCTCGTCTTCTGTACACATGTTTTTCTCTTCTATTCATTTTATTCAAAATCTTAAAGCCTAAAAAAATAATAAAATAATAAAATAATTTATCTAAAGATAACATATGAGTAATTACTCTTCTAAACTATAGTACGAAAAGAAAATAAAATGCATGTTGGTCTTTCATATTTCACTCTAAAAGACTTATAATAATCTAAAGTACGTATTCATAACATTCATATTTCATAATTATTTTATTTCTATCACTAACAGTTTAATATCTAACTATTAATGGAAATCTACTGCTAAAGAAAGTAATTAAATTGACCAAAGAAAAATAATTACCATTCAAGTTGCTGACCTCGTCTTCTGTACACATTTTTTTCTCTTATATTCATTTTATTCAAAATCTTAAAGCCTAAAAAAATAATAAAATAATAAAATAATTTATCTGAAGATAACCTATGAGTAATTATACTTCTAAACTATAGTACGAAAAGAAAATAAAATACATGTTGGTCTTTCATATTTCACTCTAAAAGACATATAATAATCTAAAATTTAATATGCATTTACTTTAATTATATTCTTCAAGATTTAATATTTAAATTTATTTTTATTTTATGTTCTTAATATTCAAACCTATCTCAAAAGCGTAATCAAAATATATTCTAATACGCTTTTGGTCGATATTATCTCATCGGCACAACAATTATTATTTTAATTTATGATTCTTTAAGGTATGAAATTTTTTACTCATCCCTGACAGATATTCTCTCATCGGTAAGAAATTTTTTGGGGTTCTACACATCACAATGATAGGATAACATCTAAGAGCGCGGCTACATTGTCGTCCCCTATCTGTATCATAAGGGAATAAACTCCTCATAAAAATGCACATACAATCACTCATAGATATACTACTTCATTCTTGATATCATACATTCTAATGAGATATCATATGAGAACTTATATTTATTTACCAATAAAATGAACATTTATTAAATTTATAGTTCATGAAAAAACCTAATAAATGTATTTATACTAAAATTTACACATCATGCAGTCATAAAAACTCATCTTAGGAAAATTATAATTTAATTGTTTAACATCCATATTTTTTCTACCTAATAATAAGAATAATTTGTAATAATTTAAATCTCACCGGAACATAACATCAATGAAATCATGCATACATTTAAAAATAATGAAAATTACTAAAATTTAGAAATATAATTATACAATTGAAGCCTGAATGCATTTCTTTTTCCCTTAAATTCGCCTTTTAAATTTTTTAATTAACACTCACATTAAACCCTGATTTATATTTATTATATAAATATATACTAAATAACATCTTAATTTATTAAACAAAATATCTCATATAAGTAAAATATACAAATTCTTACCTCATTAAAAGTTGCTCATGTCAATATTTTTTCTCACCAAAACCTTCCATTTATGATACTTGACTTTTATTCATAACATTTTAATGTTAATAACATAACAAGTTTAAATTAATTTAATTTATACTATTTAAAACTTATATCCTAACATTTAACTTTATTAGTAGCTTGTATGATTATTGTTCTAAAATCTAAAAATCCTTCCACATCTACAACCCGATTCAAATAGCATTATACCATATTAACTCCTTAAGTGCACATTAATTTAATATAGAAAAAACTCAAAAACTAAAACCAAAACCTTGCTTAAATTCGGGCTCAACATCCAACTAGCTTGGAATTCGTCTTTCTCACACGGTTCGATCAACTCATATGTAAAGCTCCTATTTCCCATAAAATCTACTTACAATATTTATTTTTAAATTAATATACAATTAAATGCTACTATTATAATTTTTTTATTAGTTAAATTGATATAACTAAAACTTATAAAAAAGTCAGATTACTCGCGTACTTACAGAGTTTGATACAATCTCCCTTACCTAGCACAGCCACGAGCTCCTTTTCCTCCTTTTTGCTCTTTGCTCGACCCAGCACAGCACACGGAATCCTTCCTCCTCCTTCATTTTCGTACCAATTTTGCTCGACTAGGATTTACCTCGAGCCGACTCCCTTCTCTCCTTCAAAATTTACAAAGTCATGGTGCTTCCTCTTCCCTCGGCTAGGGTTTCTTCCATCAACAGTGCAAGGGTTGAAGTCTCCTACGCACGCAAGCGATGACTACTTTCCATCTTATTCCTTGTTCTAACACTCGACCTCCCTGCTCTTTTTCTCGCTCCCACTCTGTCAGTCTATTCGAATGAAATGATAACTTCTTCAACATCTAATGATGAAACCTTAGGGACTCACCTATTCAATTATTATTATTATTATTATTATTATTATTATTATTATTTATTTCTCTATAACTTAAAGTTATCACACTTTCAATGAAAAAAACAATTATTGAAATTGAGGTCCCTAATTTAAAATGTAATCTTTGGATATTCGGATAAAATAGGCGAAGGTTTCTCCCTCTTTGTTAAATAGTACAGGGTATTACTAATTATGAGGGATTCTAATATTAATATTTCTATCACTAGCCAATAGCAATCCATCAAAGACTCTAGAATTAGATATCATATTTGCACATACAGTTATTTCTATAAATTGTAGTGTATTTTATCGATACATTAGATTTTTAAATCATTTTACATTGAACACTATAAATCATATAATCATCAAAAACCACCCTACAATTTATAAGCTGAAGTAGACCACAACAACAACAACTAAGCCTTAATCCCACTACGTGGGGTCAGCTACATGACTCCTTTTTTCTCCATTGAATCCTCTTGAGTGGCATGTTTTCATTTAGTTCTACAAATTAAGATCAATTTTTATACAATAAGCTGAAGTAGACCATAAATTCAAAATTACCCAAGTGATGGATAATACCTTTAAACTCATCCTCCCATACACCATAGTTATTTGTAAATGGAAGGTCGGGACCAATAAGTCCTACTCTTAATCCAGTTTTAGCCACCTCTGCTGCCAGCGACATGCCAGCCGGACCGCACCCAATCACGATTAAATCCAGCATAGGAATGCCAGAAGAAATCATTTGTAGCTGCAGGATGCCATATAATTCAATCAAGCTTCAAATACATAGAAATGGAGAAGACAAAGTCTGTAAAACAAGATTAAGGCTACATTATGCTTTTATAGCACAGCTAAATTAGATGATCATACTTATGTAAAAATTGTATAAATCATCTCATATGTTAAGAAGTTGCAAAGGCACAATGATAATTTCTTAAAAAATGTTCTCATAGTAATGCTTGTTGAAAACTTTTTAAACATAAAATTTAAGTGAAAGAAATCTATTCTCAAGAAAACAAAACTGCAGAACAGCAGAAACAAATGAAGCCCGAGCAGAATCAGCCAAGAGAACAGAGAGGGATAAATCCATACAAGACTACAGCATAACAATTTGACCTTGACCAAAAACAAAAAAAAGGGAAAAAAAGAAGAAGAAGGATCGAGCTGAAGCTGAAGATCATCGCAAAAACGGCCATGGGCCTTAAATATCATCAGGAAATAAGTGCAATGAAACAATATAGAATCATTCAAACTAAGTGACCTTCTTTACTAATACATTAAATTTTAACCAGGCATTGTAATCCTTCGATGGGTATTAAAAATAAATCGTTAACTAGAGCTGAAAAGCCATACTAAGAAAATTAAGAAAAAAAAACTCAGAAATTTGCAGTAGAGAAAGAGTGGACTTTGTCTGAAATTTTGGTTTGCTTTTCCATAGGCTTCCGCTCCTGCATTTGAACAAAGAAGAGCTCACTGCCGCCGGCCTTAATATAATCCTCCTCATCAGCAAATTCCTCCACTCCCTTCACCTCCGTCGTCGGCCCGAAGGCGCGTAATAGCGGAAGAGGCCGAATCGAACGTTTTCTCTTCCAGAGCAGCGGCCACTGGTCGGCCGCAGCGAGTCGCCTCTGGCATTTCCAGTCGCAGAATGGAAGAGAGTGTGCGGCTGCCCGCACGTGACCTAGACACTCCATGGAAGCAGGTGACAGAAGAAAAATGCAGTTTATGCTTTGTAGGATTCCGATTCTGGAGCCAAGATACAAGAGATCAGTTTTATGGCTTCTACACTTGAGGTTCTAGTAGGGGGTGGAGCGTCGGGAAGAGGTTCTCCAAAAGACACGTGTAATGTAACAATTGGTTAAACGCTTAGGTGGTCTCCGCATGAGGATATGGTTTGATTCTTCTGCTAGTTTAAAAAAAGGCAACCATAAATCGTATATTATTTTTAAAATTCTCTTAATTTGTGTACATCGTATAAAGGATCAGTAGGGGTTAAAGTAGAAAAGTTCCATTGTTTTATGGCTCGATAAATTATTAGACGGATTTACATATTCTAATATTTTAATTTCGAATAAATACTCATAATAGCTTAATTAAATATTATAAAAAATTTAATCAGCCGTTATCTGGCAAATTATACCATATACAATTTCGGCTCAAAATTGCCTCTCCATATGCAATTTCACATGTGCCCCTCTTGCTGTATGATTTCCTTATTATTTTATTATAAGATTTTTTCATTGGATAAAAAATTGAGACGATGATTAGAAAATTTCAAAGTAGTTGAATTAGACTTGAACGTAATTGGGAAAAAAATTTTGCTACTTAAATATTACAGGCTTGTACGACAAGATGATTCTTTGATAGCTTATATAATTAATATTGGCCTTGTACGAAAAAAATTTGTATGAAAATCAAGATCATTTTTATAAAAACAAATGTTAAATCAGCGAAAGGGTTGAAAAAAGTCGATTACAGATTCAACTAAAAGACAAAGCAGCATCGAAGCTTGGTTGAATATTGGTTAAATGGAATCAAAATCTTGTAGGTACAAATATTATTCAACCTATTTCGAATAATATTTGAATCAAGTTTTATTTTGATCAAAACTTCGTAAGACCATTAAATAAATTTTATTCAAAAAAAAATTTCAAATATGTTGAGGAGGATTTAACCTTTATTTGTACCTAATTCAAATACTATTAAAACCACGCAATAATCTTACTTATGTCAATATGTAGTGTATTTTCATACTAACAGTGAATTAAGCATCTCTTAGATCCTGATCTATCTGTAGGTGATGCTCAAACCTTGCAAAATCAAAGAAAATGAGAAATACCAAACAAATGAGGATAGAGAAAGCAAATCCACTAATATATGAGTAGGAAGATGAACAGAGTAAAAATGATCGAGCTCTTAGCTCTTCACAACATCATCTATTTATAGGATAGAATATAAGCTCTCGAGTTCTATAGAAAAACTTATAGAATGAGTAATGTATTTTATAAAAGGGAATAAGAAATTTAAGGGACTGATGTCCATAATCAAGCTCGAGGAGAGACGACCAACTTGCTAAAGATGCACATGACTATGACCATAATCAAGCTCATCCCCTATCCATTGTGGATGCTTCTTTAAGATAAATTTGTAAGTCGGTCTTAAGCTCAAGTAGGTGACCTTGTGTTTTGAGCCCAACTAGCATGTTATCTCTTCCTAGCTCAGCAAACATGTCCATACTGAGTAGGGTTGGATGAGCTATTATTGAGTCTAGCTTAGCAAACTCATCTTCTTTATCATTCCTTTAGGTGAATCTACCTTGGGGGTGTACATCTAATTTATTCATTCTCTTACATTTTTGGAAAGAAACTATGAAAAAAATAGGAGAATGATAAATAATTATCACTTATGAGTGTGGACCATATCTCGTTTAACATAATTTCTATGTCATAGTTTCTTATGTTGTCAAAACTTTATTTTCGGCCAATAAAGTTTCACTAATATTTTTGCTTCCAATTTCCTTTTTGAAAAGAGTTAGTGTATCTAAAAAACTAATATATATTTTTGTTCACAAATTTTAATTTATTTATTGTTTATCCCAACATCAACATAGGTTCTCTCCTATAAATTTGTCATCCCACAGGAAGGGAGAGTTTCACATTATGAGTTCCTTCTTTCATTATTGTACGTGTTTTGTAGTTTGCAAATAATGGATATCAGTAGCTTTGATTCAATTGATAATAATATGGACATTGATAATAGATTAAGAGATAGAGGCTTGCTTTTGGATCCTCTAAGTTGAAGAAAGTGAAAGTGGTATGCACTATAGATATAGTACCTCAAATATCATAGTTACTTTTATCATTCGATTCTCTCTCTAGAATCCTTACAGCTTCTAACTTAAAAATCTTTTTTTTTTATTCTTATTCACTAGAATATTTTACATATCTCAAGTTTTGAAGAAAATTGATCACTAGTTTAACGAGTCCAAGTTTATATCATCATTATTGAGGTAAGCTAAGGGGTGTACGACAAGCTACTTTTATAATATGCACATTTGTTTAAGGTGTCAATGAGTGTGAGTTTACAAACTCGGGG